GTTTTCTTCTGATGAATTATATCAACTATTGAAATGCGTATATATATTACCATCTGTGCTATTCTTTTGTAGCACCAGTGACCATGGACAACAAGTAGTCTCTCCAGGAACCGAAACTGAGCTATGGAGAAGTCACTCGCCATTACAGCCTGCAAAAAACCGGCAAAACTTAAACTTGTTTCATTGTGTTGAAGAAGAATTTGTGTGTTTTAAGTACCTGCATGCCTTCAACGCCACTGATGCCAATACCAATATCAGCTTCTTGAATCATTCCAACATCATTTGCACCATCACCGATCGCCAAAGTTGTCTTCCCTGTTCCTTCTTTAGCTAGTCTTGTTACCTGAAAAACCAAGATAAAAAAAATATGATTATGCGGGAGTTCGATAAAAAAATATGTGTTTTAAGACTTATGGAGTTATTCGTACAAGTGCTTTCTGTTTGGGAGAGACACGACAACAAATCACCGATGCACAATCAACTGCAAGTGCAAGAAACTGATACTTGACATCATCCTTTAAAGCATATGTAAGTGTTTTTCCATCAATGATCAAAGCAAACGCTGCGTGTGGATCCTTTTCGATTTTGATCATCTGTGAGGCATTTGTGATCTGCATCAAAATGCTATCCTTTGTAGCCTGAACATTTAACGAGGTTCTTCACATCAAATATGCAAGATTATAATGAAACAGTAATGTAAGATTTTAATAGTATCGACCTAATACATACAGCTTCAGAGTTTTGTGATGATTCCTCTACGTTTGCAAATGAAATGGAGATCTGCTTCATACCCTGTCTGAGTAAACTGCAAGCATATCTGCATTTGGCCAACCAAAGAATTCAGTCAATGTATTTGAAAAAAAAAAAAAACAGAGTTTCAGGGTCTGCGGTATCAGCAATAAAGAAGAACAAACCCTATGTTTATTGCTGTTTCCATCTTATCTCCTGTCAAAACCCATATCTTAAGACCAGCTTGAGCGAGGTTATCTATGCATTGAGGCACCTGAAAGTAGACTACAAACAGTAAGCCAAAAGGGATTTTTCGAAAGGTAATGATCTTTGTAATTAATGATAATCACAATGAACTATGTCTCATATACCCCTTTTTGCAGTTTGTCCTCTACAGCAGTAGCTCCAACAAGGATCAATTCCTTCTCCATCATATCCGATACCTTCTCGAGCATTTCATCTCTATCAGCTCCAACAGAAGTTTTGGCTTTGTGAAATTCACTGTTCCATGCTGAATACTCTGTCTCATCAAGCTTTCTATAACCGAGTGCCAATGTGCGTAGACCCGCTTCACCGTATTCATTCAAGTGCTTGGAAGTAGCTCCCAGATAATCTTTTCCTTTCTTTGATAGCCGGTCAAATATGATGCTGCAGAATTTCAAGAAAAAGCATTAAAGTGTGCTTAGAAATAAGTGATAATCAAAATGGAACTGGCTTGAAGTTATGCGGTCAAACCTGTCTGCGCCTTTACAGAATAGAAGAATCTGTCCTTCCTCATCTCGGACTATGGCAGACATTCTTTTTCTTTTGCTAGTGAAGTCTAACAGATTTAATACTTTGTATTCTCTGTAAAATAACCACCACATGATTAGACATCGATACGCAGAGATCAATGGTACAAATTCAAAGATTTATACAATATCACACATCAAATGATTATCTCACCTATCAACTGGTTGGCCTGAAGGTGAAAACCGTTCTGCGATAAACACACTTGACTGAGTCCTCTTAGTAAACTCAAAACCAAACTCCCTAGCAGCAACAAGGAAAGCAACTTCATCAGGAGACTCAGCTTCATAAGTACACTTTCCCGTATCTTCATCCACCTCTGGAATAGCGGTATGGCAAACCGCAAGTATACGGAAAAACATCAAAATGTCATCTGAATTGGGCTCATTTAACCAGTTTTCATCCATTAAACGGTTATCCTCAAAACTAAACCCCTTAATACTAGTGGTCTGAGTCCGATCGTTTTCATCACTAGCAGTGACTACAGTCTCCAATTCAAAATCTGATGACGTCTTGCTGGCCAGTTTCGCGTAGCGTTGTGTCCTGCCTTTAGTCAATGGAATATTTGTAAGTTCTTCACCTTGGTCCTCGAGATCCATAGCCATCTGCTTTGCAGCAGCTAATTCTACTTCACTAGCACGGACACCATAAGAAGTACCCGCAATTGAACATTTCAAAAAGTCCATCTGATTACATGTCAAAGTTCCTGTTTTATCAGAAAGTATAGTATCAACCTGTCCCAGCTCTTCATTTAAATTCGATGTTCGTGCATTAGCTGGAGTCCCGCTCTCGCTATCATACATTTGCAAGTCTTGATTTATGAAAGTTGCTTGCAAGACTTTTACTAACTCAATGGAAACATACAGCGAGATGGGAATCAAGTACCCATAAAGCAAGAGAGCAGTGATCAAATGGACTACCCAAGCGTACCAAGGATTCGATGGATTTGTTAAGCTCTCAGGCTTGTCTGGTCGCAAGTACCACCAATCTGCCATTAGAAGTTTTGTCATTACAGCAAATCCCAGAGAGCTGATAAAGGAGACGAACAAAAGCATGGCAAAGAGAGTGTATATAATGTAGTCCATTCTCTTTTCAATCGTGCTTCTCTTTGAAGGTGATTTTGTCGAATTCTGCATAACTTTTGTGTCATGACCGGTAAATATCACAACTCCATAGATATAACTCGTGTTCCTGAGCTTTGAGTCTCTCAATAGAATCTGGTTAGGATCAAGTGGATAAACCTGACCACCACATTCAAGATTTCCAACAAACGTATACAGATTCGGATTCGGATCTTCGCATTTGATTGTTCCAGAGAAATTCTGAAAAGAGTCATCCCTCTCCAATGCCAATGTAGCATCCAAACATCTCTTTACTTTCAAATTAGTTTCACCATCTAAATTCATCGTCTCCACATAACAAATCCCATCCTCGTAACTCGATGACAATAAGAGCAAATCAGCCGGGAAAAACTCATCTTTACCAACTCTTACTATATCCCCTACACGGATTTTCTTCCAAGCTCTACGACCAAACTCCCCACTCCCTCTATGAACACTAGCTTTCCTCGAATTCACCTCAACGTCCTGCATAAACCGACGCCAATCCTCCAACGCCTCTTTACCCATACTAAGCCCGACAACGAAAACAAGCGGAGCAATCATACTCCATTTGTTAAACGGCGACAAAGGAAACACAGAGAGAATAGCAGCTACGAGAAAGTAGAAATTCGCAACTCGGTGGAATTGCTCGTACAAGCATTTCGGTAAGAAAGTGAGCATGTTATACCTAGTCGTCGATACGTAATTCGATCGGTACCTAAGGAGTTTAGTACTCAAATGCATATGAGGCTGGTTACAATGAACGATTCTTGTGTAACCAGGTCCATTTATAACATGAGGTCCTTGATCTTCAAGTGTTTTTGGTCTAAGACATCTAAATGTATAGAAATGGCTTTTTCTTATCCTTGATCTAATTCTTCGACGAGCCATTTTTTTCTCTTCAAAAGCTTTTCTTCACACCTCAATGTAACAACAACAAATCAACCTCAATACTGCAAAAATTCAAACAAAAAAATGAAGAAAACGTATTAGCTTTATACGAATCCCAAATCGAGATTCTGTAACGGAGATTAGAATTGCAAATTTCTAAACGTAATCGAGAAACCTAAGATCTGGAAATCGGCGAATCGAGTCGTTACATAATCCCAGAAACTTGCCCCAAAAACTTGCAACACAAGACAGCGAAAATCACGTTATAGAGACAGAGATCGGAAGCGAAATTCAATTACCTGAAATCGGGAGGTTTGTTCATCATCAACACGAATAAAACGCAGAAATATCAATCACCGATCCTCGATTTTGAGAAGAGGAAGAAACAAAAACGGAAACAAAAAAAGGTGCGAGAGAGAGATCGAAACAGAAGAAAAAAATTGGAACGAAGAAGAAAGGAAGGAGAGAATTTCTTCTTCACCGTTTCTCGTTTTCTCTCTCTCTCTAAAGACGGAAGAAGAAGAGAGGAAA